GGGATTTAGGTCAGTGGTAGAGTGCCCTTGGATCTGATCTTTAGTACTGGGAATGAAAAGAAGGAGAGGGGAGAAAAAAAAAAAAAAAAAAAGACTGGAACAAGATTGCCCTTCCCATGACTAAAAACAGCATCTCAGAGTCTGGCCAAAGTTTTAGCCCTGTGCGAGTGTGTAACCCACATTTCCCTGAAGGGGAAAATTCAACCGAGATTTCTTGCTAAGAAGCCATCATCTTACGCTCTCACTAGCCAGGCCTGAGACAGTGCACTGGGGAAGGCAAGAGCAGACCGCGGAGGGACTCCGCACTCTGTGTTAGGGAGGGAGAGGATGTGAAGAGCCAAGTTCACACCCCGGCGGGTCCCGGGGACCTGCTGAACCTGTCCCGTTCTGCATAGCAAATGAAGGGGAAGGCGCCCTGCACGGTCAGAGCTCCTCCACCTCCCGTTTGGTGACAGGACTTTGGAGGAGGAGGAGGGGCGGTCACCTCCTCCGCCCGTGCCCTCCCCCGGCCATCCATGCCATTTAGTCGTCCTGATTTCATCTGATTAATATGTAACCAAAGAAGTGAACGCAATAATTTCACCGTCTGCGCGTCTCGGCAATTTTCAAATTCCTGCAGGTTGAAAGCAATCACCAGCAAGGCTTTCCCACTGACATATTTATTCTTCCTCTTCCGAGTCAAACCATTCCAAAAGGTGAACAAAAAATACAGCAGAAGCAGTCTGCTTGTCTGCAGTATTTACATGCTTTACATACCCTAAAAATATGTGGCTTATTAATGACTGATTTTCCAGCCTCTTCAATAAGCTTTTTTATTAGCATGACACTCCTTAACTTGGAAGTGTCAAACCATCTCTTTCTGTGTGTATCTCCTTTATGATATTTAATATAAAGATAGAACAGTATTTATATCCCTTACAATAAGAGAATGGATTGTTTTAAGGTTATATAGCCGAGATGTGATAAAGAAAGAAGCAACCTTACAAAATGATAAATATTTTCATTAAAAACTTTAAAACTAAAAGTTCAAAGATATGTTCTCCTCTCTTATTTCTTGTCAAAATATGACTTAAGACCCAAAACTAATCTACTTTCAATTTTATTCCATATTTCAGTGCTGTCATAGTACTCAGCAGAGAGTATTGGAATACGATCATTTTTTATTTTGTTGATGTTACCGACAGCTTTATTTCACAAAGCAATCTTATACTATGTCTACCAGTGGCAGGGCAGAGAGGTCAAATAGTCTCTCCACACAGGTAGAAAGCTTATTAAACAGCACGTCTATTAAACTCGATGGACAACATAAAGAAACATTTCAGCAAAATACTTTTAACATACTGCAATGAAGATATGGCTCAAAAGGGTAGTAAATAATTTAAACAGAGACCAATAGGGAATTTGTTATATTTGTTACTAGCATCTTCAAAATTATATTTCAAACAAACTGCTTTGAATAGAGAGGAACACAAAAGCTACAGAGAACAGCCCAAGTCATACAAACCTCACACTGTAGATATTTTCTCTGGCAAATCTGAAAGCACGTAATACCCCAGCTTGAATCCAAATACTAATAAATTGATAATTCTATCACAAAGCTTATGTAAAATAATCTAGCCTAAATATATAATATTTCTGGACACAGAAAAGTTTTTTCAAAAAGGATCTTTTTGACTGTAGTTTCATTATTGCTCTGGCTGACAGTTAATTTTTAAATTTTATTCATGAATCAAGGCAAAACTCACATCTAAGATAAACAATACCAGAACTGAAGTGAAAAATATTTGTTCACTTATTACATATCATTGGGTGTGAAACCTCAGTGTGGGGCTGGTCTCTCTTCAGGTTCCCATCTTACCCCCAAACAAAGGCTGGTACTAGCTGAGGTCACATGCTCCCTCCATGGCTTCCAGAAAAGGAGAAGATGTGACAGAAGCAGCGTGGTTGCCTAGCACGCTGAGGTCCCAGGTTCTATTCCCAGCACTGCATTTTTAAAAAAATCTATATAGATTTAAAAGGATCAAGAAAAAAGTGTGAATGCATAGTTGGAATTTTCTTTTCAAGTACCTCTGGCAACTTTTTTATTATCAAAACAACTAGGTGATTACCCTTTCATCACAGTGCTTCTGCCCTATGGTGTATGGTCACTCATATTTACAAAAACTAAGAAGAAAAAGAAGGAAGAGATATGTGGAAAAGAGTACAATTTCTTACCCTCGTATCTTATATGTAAGCTTTTTTTTTTTTTTTTTTTTTACCAAAATGACAAACTCAATCTCCAACTTTCAATAAGTTTACCATAAATACTGATACATCTCAGTCTTGAAATTCAATCCCTGGTCTCCAGTCACCTGGTCTCTGGGTGCCTGATCTCTTACTGAGAATATAAACTACTTGATGGAGCAGGCTTACCTGGTAGGATAATTAAGAAGGTACAGAAGCATCAAGCATGACTTGTTAAAGTTTACAATTACCTTCCCTCACAACATCACTCTGGAAGCACTGGCCTTGCTTCAGCACACAGTAAATCATCACCTAAATGTATTTGCACCCCATCATTTTTTAAAGTCACAATCTTTGTAGTGTCAACTTGTCAAGGGTCAAAGGGAAGAACAGGCGAGATTCCCAAATCAATCTGCTTGTAGAAACTGTCTCATTTCATTTCAAATTACCTGCTGTGGTTGAAGCAGGGTATGGACAAACTGCCTTCCTCCATAAACCATGACAGCACAGGTCGAACTTATGTGATCATTCATAAGGAGCCAGTCTTGCTGGTTCTGTCATTAACTACTTTTAAACGGCGGTGCAGGGTTAAGTGATCTTGCAGGGCAGTTGCTGGTATAAATACTGTTTGGACAGTTTAATGTTAAGAGACAACTCCTGTGGGATTAAAAGTGTGTAACCCAATAGCACTGTTGTCGGTACAAGGATTAAGGTACTTTGGGGTTGTTACTTGAAGGAATGACTTTACATAGATTCCGGGCAAGGGACCCCATAGGATCCCGAATGTGGTTCATCTACACCATGCAACTCCTAGACAGTGTCCTGAGAATATTAAAAAATCACTTCAGACAGAATTTCTCCTTTCTGGACAGTGCTCTTTCTGTGTTTACATTTGTCCTTGTGAGGCTGAAGGAAATGAGAGGACAGTGATGGGCTAAGCCTTGGGCTTCCAGAACTCCACAGGAATAGCAAAGACCGAAGGCTGCGGCACCATCAGCGTGGTGGCCTGCAACAGCTTGTGCACAAATGAGACTGAAATCATCATTCCAGCACCTTGCCAGTCTTCATTCCTGAATAAGCAAATACTATCACATCTAAAGACGCCAATTGTTTTGTTTGTTTTTCGTGGTGGTGGAGATTGAGCCTAAGACCTCTACCAGTGAACTACATCCCCAGCCCTCTGTAATATTTAAAGATAATACCTAATAGTATGCGCTGGGCATTGTACTGAGTGCTTTGTATGAATAACCTCATTTAAATCTCACAAGTGAATGAGAAATCTACTTCTAGTCCCAATGGGTGGGTGAGAAAGTTGTGGGTCAGGGCAGGCAACAACTGGCCTCCAGTCACACAGCTGCTGGAGGCAGGGAATGGGGCAGAGTGGCTGAGGGTCTTGTGTGCGGCTCGAAAACGAGCGCATGACTGTGAGTCTATCCAGCCTCCATTAGTTATGCCTCCTGTGAGCAATTCTACTTGTTTGACTTATCAAATATTTATAATCTACACTGGCTTAGCCTTCCTTAACATGTGTTAGCAGTGTTCGCAAACCTTTTGAAGCATTTACAAGAAAAGAGTTGCTTAGCTACCCGGAGAACCAGAACAAGTTAAATCAAGCTGATAGACAAATTCCTCCGGGGGAACATGAAGACCTTCCAGAGGGAACGTGGGCACAGAGTTTTAAGAAAATCCATTTCAAAATCCTCAGCGTCCATATGTTTCCTTCCTTGAAATTAATCATCATGGGAAAATATGCTGACTCTCGCTTGCTACCCCCGTTCAGAGGGAATGACTCACAACAGAAGGTTCTCTGCTTACCTCCCTCAGCTCTCACCCCACCCAAGGACAACAGCCTCCACCTCAGCAAAGAGTATTTCCAGGTTCCGGAGTCTCCTGCCCAGTTCATCCCCTTAAGAGACATATTTTGGCTGGGCATGGTGGTGCATGCCTATAATCTCTGCTACTTGGGAGGCTGAAGCAGGAGAATCATAAGTTCCAGGTCAGCCAGGGCAATTCAGTGAAACACTGTCTCAAAATAAAATAAAAAGGGCTGGAAATAGAGCTCAGCACTCCCTGGATTCAATCCCCAGTACTCCAAAAATGAGAGATAAAGAGAATTTCAATCAATAGCTTTCTCTGTATTTAAAACTCATCTGTAAAGTGTAGTATATTTAGGCTATTTTGATCAATTTCAAATGATACCTCAAAATGGAGGAAAATGTTAACCTCTAGAACCTTCTAGTCATAGCATACTTCAAAATAATTTTTCAATTTACATACACAGTATGCACCTGAAAATTAAATGGTAATTAATAAGGCTTTCAAGCATAAATATATTTCCTTAGGATAAAATTCTCTGGGAAAAAGAGAATGGAAATAAGATTTCAAGGAGAAAAAGGAACAATATTCAGAAGAGTTTGTGTGTTTTTTTACATTATGCTCATGAGTGCAAAATCATTGTGAAAGTCAGATTCCTTTGGAAACAGTCAAACCAAAGTGTCAGTCTCGGCACTGTGGTCATTTTGGGCCGGAGAACTGCTGCTTGTAACTTCCTGTCTAGTGCATTATAACGTGTGGAGCAGCATACCTGGCCTTTGCACACACACATACACACCGTGCACATGTACGTGTGCACACACAGGTGTGCACATACACACTGTTGTGATCACCAAAAATGTCTCCAGATACCGCTCCTTGTGGGGAGGGGAGGAGTTACCCTTACTTGAAAACCTTTAAACAGGGGATACAACGGACTCAGCATATATTTTCAAAATTTGGCATTTAAATTTATTCAAAATGTTCAACGTTCACCAAACATATGCAAAAGAGCACATAATTTTTCAAAATTATTTTTAGAGGCGTCTGCGAGCGAACACATTCCCTGACCATGGAGTGTGAGAGGAACTGTCGGTGACAGTGCAGGAGGCTGCTCCGAGGCCGGGGACTCTCAGTCTCTGCTACTGAAGCAAGCTGGGCCCCGCTACAAAGGAGAAAGCGGCACCCTCAGAACCATCATCCATGGAAAAGACCCAGGGCTGGTGTGAGGGTTGGGGCAGAACATGCCCAGCCTACACAAGCCTTGGGTTCCACCCCTAGCACCAAAAACTAAATTTTAAAAAAAGTAGACATAACCAGGAATATGTGTTATTTCTGAATAATTTTAAAGCTGGGTCTTTTGAAGGACAAGCACAAATGGAGAAGGTCCAGTGAAGGACAGCCTGGAGAACTCCCTGGAAGGGCTAAGCTTGCAAGGCCACAGATCACACCCTACCACTCTTGAGTCTATCTAGAGGCCTGTGCAACACATTTATGCTACTTAAAAGTGAGCTGACAGCTAGCCTACTGGCACACACTTGCAATCCCAGCATTCTCAGAGGCTGAGGCAGGAGGACTGTAAATTCAATCCCAGTCTGAGTCTTAGGGAGATCCTGTCTCAAAATAAAAACAAGAAATGCTGGGAATGTACGGTTTAGTTTGGTTCAGCTCTGGACTCAATCCTCAGTACCACAACCAATCAATCAATAAGTAACTCAGGCTTGGGGTATGGCTCAGTGGCAGAGCATTTTGGGCAAGTGGTAGAGGCCTTAGATTCTACCCCTGCGCTGCAAAATTAATTAATTACATAAATAAAATTCGCAACTCAGATTCTATATTCAACTTGTATTTTCCACTAATAAACTTTTCAGATGCCGCTTTTTGGGGGGGTTGTGGGTAATGAGGATTGGGGATTGGACTCAAGGAGTGCTGAGCTACATCCCCAGCTCTGCTGGTTTACTTCATTTTGAAGCAGGGTCTTGCTAAGTCACCCAGGCTGACCCTGAACTGAGCCTTATGCCTCAGCCTTCCAAGTAACTAGGATCTATGCCAAGCTGGATGCTTCTTATTTTGATCATTTTCTCAAATAATAACACCTTCAAGATGAATTGCCTCCTCATTGTCACCAGGCTCGGAGTCCCTGGGGCCTGCAGCATCCACCTGCCTTTTTAAGTGAGGTGGCAAGGCTCAAAAAGCTTTGTGAAGCCTGGAACAGTGGCAAATACCTGTGATTCCAGCAATCTGGAAGGCTGAGGCAGGAGGATCACAAATTCAAGTACAGTCTGGTTAATTTGGATATTGAGATCGTGTTTCAAAATTTTAAAAGGGTTGGGGATTGAATTTGGGGCCTTTTGCCTTGAGCCAAATCCCCAGAACTGAAGAAGGAAAAAAAGGAGGAGGAGGCAAAGGAGAAGAAGGATGTGGTCAAGAAGAAAGAAGGAAACAGAGGAGGAGGAGGAGGAGGAGCAGGGGCTACGTGACTGAAACTCCAAGTTCAGGGCTCTTTCCTCTGCACCATGCAGCCTCCAAAACAAATGCAGCCGCAGCCACTTGCATGCGCCGTGGGTTCGTCTGGCTGCAATGCCAGTGTGATGAGGGCTTCACAATTTGATCCTAATTAGGAAGGACCAGTGAGCCAAGTGCGCACCTGATGTTTGAATCTTTAAGAGAAAGTCGAGATTCTCCAACCTTGGATGCTCCAAACAATCTTTCTGAACAGTGCTACGGGGGCTGCAGCCTACTGAGCTCAGCTCCTTGCACAAGTGAATGCCAGGCAATCCAGGCCTTCTGAAAATTCCTGTCTGGCCGGGGGACTGGCAACCCCGGAACAAAGGCTTGAGGACAAGAAGCAGCATGCTAATGAGCGGAGCGGAGTACAATGAGAGCCAGTACTCCAAAGGCCAACAGACAACAAAGGGACCGTCACGGTGCAGAGGCAAGGCATCCATGCATCAGCCAGCGCATCTCGTGTCCCAGGCTGTGTCCTAGGTGCCAGGGCAGAGAAATGGTTCAGACAAGGCAGCCTAGTACGGCGGGATAAGTGTCAAACACCACCAGGCTGCCCGAGTGTGGGACCTGCGGTGCCCCTGCCTGGCCCACCAGCCACATTGTACCTTCCCTGAGCCTCTTTTCTGCAAGTATAAAATGAGACATCAGCTCCACTGGGTGAGATATTTAAAGCACATTGTACATGAAAGGAGCCCAACAAAGGAAATGCTATTAGTCAAAGCTAATCTTTTTTTTTTTTTTTCTTTGCAGTGCTGGGTATTAAACACTTCACACTGAGCTACATCCTCGGCTGTTTTTTCATTCTGAGACAGGATCTTACTAACTTGTTAAGTTGCCCAGGCTGGACTTGAATTTACAGTCCTTCTGCCTCAGCCTCCCAGAGTGTTGGGATTCCAGTGTATGCCACCATGCCCAGCTGCGGAAGCTGCACATGCACTATTTCACTTCGGCCTCACGATGCAGGGCATTGCTAGCATTGCTAATACAGTATGAAAGAAGAGGGGCACACGGCCACCCGTCCAAACACACACACCTCTCAAGGGTAAGGTCCTGGCGGACTGCTGCCAGCAGCCATCTGGGAGGCCAACTGTAAGGCTAAATGGAGGGGCGTGAAGAGGTGCTGGGGACAGGCCAGCTCCCCTGAGAAGGCTGGAGCCACCTGAGTGTGGGGAAGGCATGGGCTTCCTGGCGAAACCTCCTTCCTGCCCCCCACAGAGGGGAGGCAAGCGACAGGCAGCAGGAGGCCCATGCGCAGGGCTCCCAGACTCCAAATTACACAGGAAGGCGTGGGGCCACCCCACGGAGGTAACAAACTGGAGCAAAGCAGGGAAGGAAATGTGATTAAAGAAATTACTACCAGGCTTGGTGGCACCCAACTCAAACTAAGCTAAACGGGAATAAACTGTCCCCAGCAGAAGAGAAATCCAAAGAGGGGAGCCAGCGTTTAACCCACAGTGCTCAGGGTGCTTTCCTGGGGCCCTGGGACCCATGGCCCTGTTCCCACACTGCAACTGTCCCCAAAGGTTTCTCTACTGCAGAATAAACGGCCAGGCCAGCTGCAGCGCCGATGGCCGCCGTTTCTCTTCAGGTTCCCATATTACTCCCAAACAAAGGCTGGCACTCAGCTGAGGTCACATGCTCCCTCCACGGCTTCCAGGAAAGGAGAAGATGTGACACTGGAGTTACGCTAAGTGACAGTGGGATGGGGTTTCAATAAGGGAGGGTTTGGACCTGTGAGGTGGAGGTGGTGATCGGCAGGTGGATTTAGGGGAGAGTCCATCATCCCCTGCATGGAGAGAAAGGGATGAAAAGAAGCTGCAATCTGTGAGGCATGGTGAAAAACAGCTGTAAACTCAGCACTCTGGGAGGCTGAGGCAGGAGAATCACCAGTTAGAGTACAGCCTGGACAACTGAGCAAGAGTCTGCATCAAAATAAAAATTTAAAAAAGGGGTAAGGAGGCAGCTCTTAGTAAAGGCCCTGACCTCAATCCCCAGTACCACCAAAGACAAAGAAGGAGAAGAAGAAGAAATAGAAAAAAATGTTGGGTATGATTCTGAGGCATGGCGTAGGATCCTAAAGTCACTTGCATGATATTTTTTCCCCTTGTACAGGGGCAAGAGTGTGGATTATTTTAGGCATTAAAAGAACATGGTTACTAGATAAGACAATGACCAAGTGCAACTGGCGGTTTAGAGAAAAGAAACAAACTCTAGTGATTTCAAGTAGGGAATTCCTGGGCATGCAAGGAACTGCTCGTCCCGACAGTAAACTTCCTCACCTGATACACAGCGTGCCTCTTCACAGTCGGAGGCTGGGGTGAGCAGGCGGAATAATGCCTTCTATAGAAGAAAAAGTGGAAACATTCTGCTGTGGAAAGGCAGTCGGGTAGGACAGCAGAAGCTAGATCCTGAAGAGTTCTGGTCACAGCTGGTGTGGGAGGGGAGCAGCATCACAGTTTCTAGGAACAGCAACCTCCTGGTGCCTCTGGACAACCACGCCAGCTGCTAAGGTATTGCAATATTTCTGTATCAGCTGGTAAATAGTCGCCAGCCGAGCACCTTGTCCTAAGGCCAATGCCTCCCTGACCCCAACTCCAGAGCCCCAGGACATCCCCATGCCCCAGTCAGCACAGCAGGAGCTAGACCGGTGAGGGGGCGGGGCCCCTGGACACACACACACACACACACACACACACACACACACACAGTGCTCAGGACCTGGGTGCCGTCTGAATGCGAGTGCTGTCCCAACTGCTGAATGGTTTGGCTCTAATGCTGGAGAACAGCAGATCTCTCTCTCATGAAAAACACTTTCGAAGCTATTTTGTCCAACCTGGGAAGCGCTGGGGAAGCAGGGCAGCAGAGGGGAGACAAGGGAATGGGACGCTGCCTAGACAGCCACAGGCTAGACGGACCCCAGGTGACACTGGATGATAACAGGGATGTGTATGGGCTTTTTGCCAGGCTCCGAGCACAGGGTGTGCTCCTGAACTCATGGGGAGGCTCTCTGGTCTCTCTCTCTCTTTTTTTTTTTTCTCTGGTCTCTCTTAAGGGCACTGATGCCCAAGGGACTTTTCGGCCCTCACCCCCCGCCTCCACCTCAGAAAGGAAGAAGGGCTGAAGGCTGAGTCAGTCACTAATGGCCAAGGATGTGACTCATCCCGCCACATAATGACGCCTCCATAAACACCCTCAGGACAGGGTCTGGAGGAGATGCTTAGAGTGGCATGCCCGTCAGGATGAGGGCTCTGCACCCCTCTCTGCTGCCATGCCTCATGCGCCTCTATCATCAGGCTCCGCTCCTATACCCTTCATTACACTCTTCATTAAAAAGCCAAGTAAGTGCAAACCTGTCCCTGTGTTCTGCGGGCCGGCCTAGAAAATCGGTGGGAAATCAGAGACAACTTGCTGCGTGCCATTGGCAGCAGAGTAGAGGCAGACTTGTGGGACTGAGCCCTCACCTGTGGGACCTGAAGTGACTCCAGGTAGTTAGTGTCAGAATGGACCTGCCTATGGGACACGCAGTCAGTGTCCTCCAGAGAGTCGCTTAGTTGTATGTGAGGGTGGGGGGCTACATTCCGGTGACAAGCGTGTTCAGTGTTGGGGTCAGCCTGAGGTAGGAAGAGCAGTGTGGCTTTCACTGTGTCTGGTTCCCCTTCTGTTGGGCATGATGGCAAACACCTGCATCCCAGTATGCTGGAAGGCTGAGGCAGGAGGACTGAAAGTTCAAGCCCAGCCTGGGCAACTTAACAAGGCTGTGTCTCAAAATTTAAAAAAAAATATTTGAAGAGCAAAGGTGGGAGGGTAGGGCTGTAGCACAGTGCAAAGGCCCTGGGTTCGATCTCTAGTACCACAAAATAAAAAACACCCCACTCTTCATTTGTTCGTTCGTTTGTTTGTTTTTAGCAGGACAAGGACAGTTGCCAACGAGTTTGATGCTGGGAAATTGTCAGCATTGTCTGTAATCATTTCATTTCTCTTTTACGCTGCACTGGGGAGCCATGATATTTAAGCAAAAGTAAACATAAAACAGAAGATGAATAGCTAACTCAGATTTGCTTTGGATTACTCCCCATTCAACAAATCACAAAAGAGATTAGAGCTTCTGTTTGACCCAGAAAAAGTACAAAACCAAAGGGACAGGGATGGTATAATCTATTTATAACCATCCTCTTAAAAGGTGCTGCATTTTGTAAAAGGCCAAACGTTTTAGGAAAAAGCCAACCATGGCAGGGATCAAATAAGTCTAAGTGACTTGTGATTGCTTGTTCATCAAGCAAAGTATTGTGAACGGATTTTGAATTCAAGGAAGCCTCTTAAACTTGTGCTATTCAGCCTAAGAATATAATCATTCTTTTAGCAATTTTGTAGTGCATTTTTATTTTTATTTTTATTTTTGTGTTAGTGCTAGGGATTGAACCCAAGGCCTCTCTCTCACACAAACTCTACCACTGTAACTGTATCCCCAGACAAAATTTTTATTTTTAGAAAGGAATTTAAATTAAGACAAATGAAGAACAGTTTGGTCGTTCTTCAGGAAGTTAAATTAGAATTATCTTTCGAACCAGTGAGGAACAGACCCTAAGGAATTAAAAATAGGTATTCAAGTAAAAACTTACAAATAGAGATTCATATAGTTTTACTTACAACAGCCAAAATGTGGACACAACCAGTGTCTGTCAATTGATGTGTAATTAAGCAAAATGAGCTACACCCGTACAGCAGCACAGGAAGAAACAAAGCCCTGATATGCGCTATAGCGTGAGTGAACTTTCAAAGTATTATATTTCATTATATGAAAAGCAAAAGGAGCCAGACGCAAAAGACCACATAGCTTAGATTTTATACGTGTGAAATTTCCAGAATAAACACATCCATATGGACAGAAAGCTAAGGGGAGAGAAACAAGGGGAAGGATGAGTTAACCAACCAGGTTTTCCTTTCCCGGTTGCTGAGAACATTCTGGAACCCTCGGTGGTGATGGCTGCACAATGTCATCAATGTGGAATTGCATGTTGCAAGTTGCTAAATGATGAGTATTGTACTCTCTGTGTTGTACCTTAGTAATTTTTTTTAAGGCAAGAGAAGGCAACTGGGTCTGGGTTTGAATCCTGAGAACACAGCCTAGCATCCAGTAACTCACAGGGAATGCAGCCTTTCTGATTTTAGGCTCCCCGTAAAGCAGCCGGGCTCTTGGTCCCTGCCCACAGCAGAAGCACTTCCTCTCCCGCAGTCTGTCTGCTTTTTTCTCTTTCTTTCTTTTATGGTACTAGAAATTGATCCCAGGCCTCTCAGTCAGCATTCTACCACTAAGCTATATATCCCTAGGCCCTTCTGATTAGGTTTTGAATTTTCAATATTTAACTTTTTCCTTTTAGGAGGGTCTTGCTAAGTCACTAAGTTTCTCAGCCTGGACTTGAACTTGTGATCCTCCTGCCTCAGCTTCCCAGAGTACTGAGATTACAAGAATGTGCCACTGTACACAGTTAATATTTAGCTTCTTGCTGGGAACATAGCTCAGCAGTATAAGTGCCTGCCAGGCAAGCACAAGGTCCTGAGTTTGATTCTCAGTACCAAAAAAAAAAAAAAAAATTAGCTTCTGGAACCACACTGAAAAGTAGGAAGTATTTATTTTCCTCATACTGTATGTAAAGGAACTAAGGATAAACTAGTTTTACATATAAAAATTACTTTTTTGCTAGGTGAAAAAACTTAGTTATTTATAACAAAAGAATAGGCTCTCCTCTGGTTTGTTTTCGGGTTTTTTGAGCAAGGTCTCACCATGTAGCCCAGGCTGACCTCAAACTCAGGATCCTCCTACTTTAGCCTCCAGAGTGCATTAGAAGTACAGGTATATGCCACCACACCTAGCTTTGCTGTACTCTGGTTTTAATGGTAAGCTTGTAATAAGGCACAAGCCAAAGAAGCTTCAGCTAAAATGGTTGCTTCACAGCCACAGACTATGATTTTCTATTTGTTTGCAGTAGAGGGCACTGAACTCAGGGTCTTCATACTGAGCTACATCCACAACTTTTAAAAACAATTTTAAATTTTGAGACAGGGTCTCACTAAATCACTTAGTTACCCCAGCTGAGCTCAAACTTTTGATCCTCCTGCCTCAGCCTCTCAGAGCGCTGGGATTACAGGCAAGCACCACTTGTCCTGGCCACAGATTATGATTTTAAATTTCCTGAGGTTTCCAGTGGTCAAGACCGGAGATTGAACGCAGAGTTTCCTGCTTTCTGTGTCAGCCACCTTCATATATGAATGTGATAAAAAGACACATCACTTCAGTATGCACTACTGGGGCCAGAAGCATCTGATTTCTTATCTGTGGAATATCTGGATAACTCTTTCTCCCAAAAAGAAAAAGAAAAAACCATACAATTTTGGATTTCCTACAGATTTCTGAGTCAAAAACATCTGAGGTTGCTATTTTAAAACTAAATTAGAGAATTTTTTATGACAGGAAACTATTCTAACAATGACACCTTATTTCCTGCAAAATACAAGTAAATTCCACACATTCCCGTGTTTACCAGAGCCATGCCGCCGTTCTCACATCTGAGTCACAGAAATATGTACTTCACACAGCATTTGCACATCTGGGATTCTGAGGTCTTCCGCAATGTTGTGAGCATCAGAACTGGGCCTAAGCGATAGAAGTCAGACGCACCAGCTCAAATATCGAAAGGTTTCTCTTCTATGAGGAACACAAAGAACAAAATAGAAGGGCGATAAATAGGAAATAGGGAGAAGTTCAACTACTCCCCCAAATTACAAATTCTATTGTTTTAAGAAATAGAATTTTCAGCCGGGGGTACAGCTCAGCGGCTTAAGCGCTTGCCTGGCAGGCCTGAGGTCAAGAGTTTGACTCCCGGTACCAAAAAAAATAAAAAGAAAAAAAATAAAAAATATTTCAATACATGTGCTAATTGGTTTCATTTATACTACTTAGTTTATCATAGTTTGTTGAAAAGAAAGATTTGTATTATTATCTGTTTCTTAGGGTAAGAATCTTTTCAGTTTATCTCTTATATTCTGGGTAACTACTTAGAAGATAATGATATATGGTGTAATAACTATTGTTATTCTCATTATTTGATTTTGAAATTTTGTTTTATTTTTTCATAAAATAAAAAAAAGTTTTAAAAATAATTGCATCAACTAAAAAAATGTAAAACAGAACCACTGAGAGAGGTTCATATGATCCCTACTGGATTTTTTACTGGAGGGTCTTAAAAAACTGAATCTTGTCACACTAATGTAAACATGTATCCTAATAAGGTTTTGCTATCACTTAGACACCTGATGTAAATCTATTTCCCTTCTTGGCCCAGAAGTAGCAGTGACTTGACATGGGACAGTATATAGTCACTGGAGTGTTTTATATAGAAGGGCAGGGAAAAGATGAGGTCTTGGGCAACCTGACCCCAGTGGAGTACCCTGAACACTCAGCCCATCTGAGATGGCCCCTGGTAGATGACAGAGCTGGGCACTGCTTTGGGCAAAGCCATAGCTCCCCCCGGGAGGGGCACAGACATCCACATCGTTGAGACCCTGCTTAAGTTTAACTCAACATTCCTGTACCTCCCTGCCACTCCTTTTTCCTAGTAAAATGATTAACATTCCACAGACACCCCAGGAACTGCTGGTCTGGTCAGTTTTGTTGAATTTACAGCCCCTGGTTTTCTGGATAATCACTGTTTGAGCAAGAGACATCCTAGGTAGTCAGATGTCAAGATGTTTTGTTTGCTTGCTTGTTTGCTTTGGTGCTGGGGCCGCTGTGTATGCTGAGGCCATGTGCTCCACCCCTGAGCTGCACGTCCAGCCCCAAGATGTTTTCATTTTGCAGAGTAATGATATGGCCAAGCCACACCAGCCGAAAACACATTTGTCAGCGTGCTGGACTCCTGACCAGTTTCTGACCTTTGCATCCCTTTACCAGAAAAGTCTCAGCCTGAGATGCAAAACATCTGGTCTGACGGTGACCACCAATTTTCACCTTGGAATGTACCTGAGGGCTTTTCCAAGAAGCGGCCTGGGTTTCCACCCACACTGCCACCCAGTCAGAGGTTGTGTGGAGATGCTTGGCCATAGGGTAGTTATGAGCGAGAGCTCTGGGTTCAAATTCCAGGCTCCTCTGTTTGTAGGTATGTTGCCTTGGGGAAACTGCTTCACCTTTCTGAACCTCAATTGTTTTCATCTGTAACACAGAATAGCAAAAGTATCCATCTTTTACAGAAAAGATCTTATCAAAAAAAATTACAGATTGAAAAAGGACTGCATGTGAAGCATGGAGAATGTATTGCTGAGTACTTTAAAAATGCTGACTGCTATTATTTCTCATTCCCCTGACCCCTTCCTTAGTTAATGTCGTTTTAAGAGCAGGAACAGAGGAAACGGAAACCTCAGTGGAGGAGGAAGGAGGGCGCCTGCAGATGCGTTTACAATGTGAGGTGGAGAAGCCAGAGATACACATGCAAAGATCAAAGCTTCTGAGCCTAGCAAACGACCAGGTGAGTCCCAGGCTGAAAGGATGAAAAGATCCTGACCTAAGGAATGGGTTTTCACTTCCCAGAGCCTGCTGGGAGGCTTCCGTACTGATTATCCAAAGGCGTAGGGTCTGAGCCCCATGGGGGCACACATTTCTTCCTCCTAAAGGGCCACTATATGGGGGTCCATAGATGGATGGATTTTGTTGTTGTTGTTGTTTTTTGGTTTTTTTCTGGTACCAGGAATCAAACTCACGACCTTGGGCTTGCCAGGCAGTCACTGTGCCACTGAGCTAAATCCCCAGCCCCTAGATTGATAGATTAACTCACATTTAGTCACACTACTGGGGCCATATTCCCCCAAAGCTCTGAAATATATTTCCCCAACTACAGGAGGTAAAAAAGAAAAGAAGCTGAGCCACTTGATGTATCTGCAAACAGGAAGATGCTTTAGAAATATTTGGGGTTTCCTCTCTCTCTCTCTCTCTCTCTGTCACTCTCCCCCCCCCCCCGTCTCTAATACTGTGGATTTAACCCAGGGCTTTACACATGCTAGGCAGGCATTCTACCACTGAGTTATATCGCTGCCCTGAATATTTGTTGAATGAATAAATAAATGGTTGAATGAAGTAGGGATAAATATGCTCATGAATAACTGAGGGTAAAGAAGCAGAGAGATTCTCAGTGTGCAAGCAACTTCTGTTCACCCTCTAAGACAGAGGCTAGTCTTAGACACTGCAGGCCAGGACACCCAGTACCTCAGGCTTTGCAGTCCCTAGTCTCTGTTGCAACTGCTCAGCTCTGCAGCATTATCTGAAAGCAGCCACAGACAATCTGGACATGAATGGACAGACCCGTGTGCCAATAAAACCTCATATACGTACACAGAAATTTGAAGTTTATGATTCTCAGATGTCATGAATTATTTTTTTCCCAACCACTTCAAAAGTGTAAAAAATCACTCTTACAACGCTTAGAAAAGGAGCGCCTAACCCTTGAGCTACAGTTGCCAGCTCCCGAGCCAGGAGATGATAAGAGACAAGTGCATGAGGAAGTGGCGACCACAGAAGTTTACTGAGTGTCTGCTATGTGTCAGGGGCTGTGCCCGGCGCTGCCGAGATCCATCCAGCCGGAAAGAAAACCAGGCAAAGTCCCACCTCTGAGGAAGTTAGGTTTTAAACAGGCGAACAGATCGCAAACAAGATAACCGCAGGCTGGGAACTTGGAGCGGAGGAAATGAACAGGATAATGAAACAGGCCGGGGAGGCCATTTCCGAGAGGCAGGAGTCTCTGTGCTTTCTTGTTGGTGACCACGTTTAACCCCTGGGACACCCTTGTGTCCATTTAAAGAGAGGAAAGTGAGGTCCAAGGCCTCACAAGTGGGAACTGGAAAAGCCAGGCCATGGAGTAACTGGAAAGGAGGTTCACTGAATTAGACCCGGGCCTCCAGTCCAAAGCTGTATCTGTGCTGAGTCCTTAAAGCCTGTTTGAAAAATGGAGAATGAGGGTAATTATCGGGACAGGCAGGACATACAATAAGCTGTGGGTGCTCTAGTTAACAGTGCTCGGGCCACGTTTTGAATGTATTCCATTTTTCCCAGATACGTGAGTTGTCCTCTTTACCTGCAGCACGTTGCTCCTCAAGGAGGCATGCCCAAGCTGTTGTGCACTCTGCCTCCTCAGGTGTTGCCTTCTTCATTTAATTATTGTTCCAATTAATCTGAATTGCTGGCTGTCTGCACTTTGCAAACTAAGCACAGAAAGCCACCAGGAGGGATTAACGCTGCGGAGTCAACCTTACACACAAAGCTACACGGCCGAATTTGGGGTTGTCATGCCTAACCGAAGCTCTAGCTATGTCCTTGGGCATGGCCTTGTGGCAAAGTTTTCATCAGGAAACGAAATGCCAGATGATAAGCAGAAAAAACAACCTCAGATTCCAAAGTCATTAGAGAATATTCTTATTGCCCATTTATCTGCGTGTATCTTGTGCTTAGCGAAACCTAAAAGGTGACATGTCTGGGAAGCTATTACTCAGTAAAGACTATATAAAGCACTTTTAGCTAAATTTTACCAGTTGGAACCCTACTCTGCGTTAATAATCAGAATGTGGGTTCGTGGTTACGTATAGAGAAAAAAACAGGGAAAGCCAGTTTTTCACAGGCATTCAAAGGATATAACATTTAATTACCAAGTAAGTAATGTTACAATGCATATTAATTTCTAGGAGAAAAAATGGATTTTTTGTTTGTTAATTTGTTGCATTGCTAGAGAGTAAACCTAGGGTCTCACACTTGCTAGGCAAATGCTCTACCACTGAGCTATAACACCCCCCACCCTGTGATAGGAGTAGAATTTTAAAATTAATGCTATGGTTTCCTGCATAATCAAAATGGTGCTTTACTTCTGGGTAGGAAGTGCAAAAGAGAAAAATTTTAGTATATTAAAGATATAATATACATTTAGGAACTGGCATAATATGCGAAAATTTAATAGCAGGCAGAAGAGCTTTTACTGGAAAGTCAATGAGTGTGACAATGATGTAACTATCCAGAGAGTACTGATCTACTGTACTAGCAATGCCCAATGTGAAACACTAGGGGAATTTCCAATAAATCATGGTTTTCTATCATTCAAATGTGACCACTGTGAGTCGCAGCAGACAGGAGATCACATCCTCAACTCTGCATAACACAGAGGACGGGTTGCAGGTACAGCTTAATGGCACAGGACTTGCCCAGCAAGCAAAGGCAGGGGAGGGGGCTGATCCCCAAGACCACCTCCAAAAACAACAACAACAAAAAAAAAAAAACAAAGAAGATTTAACCAAGAGATGACTTACAAATGTAGATGGAGTTCAGGGAACTTCCCAGAAGTATGCAGGCTCGTGGGGCTGGTACGCAGTGCTGTCCAATGTGAGCAATGCAGGAAAGGTGTGGTCCCTGGAATCCTCACCAGCCTGCAGAGGAGCCACAGCTGGAGGACAGGGACCTTCAGTTTAGGACAGAGTCAGGCTGAGGTGACACCATCTCCAGGAAATAAGTCTCTCCCTTCCCTCCATCTGCTGGGGCTCCCGGAGAGAAGGCAGGGTAGGGAGGTGAGCGGTGTGGAAGGGAAGATGGGCAAACACAAGATTCTCATCACACAGGCATTCTTTCATGGTGTGTGTCTTCAATTTTTGTGCCTCAGGTGAGTCCGCTACAGTATCAACCTTTAAGGACACTGCCTCCACTCCTTGTATTAATATAAGTCACATGGCAAAGGCTTCGAACACTGGTGATGAACCTATGGCATGTGTGCCACAGCATGCACACAGAGCCCCCTGTCCGCATGGAAGCCGACTCACCCCCAGCATCGCCCCAGCAGCCAGGCATGGAATATTCAGGTTTAATTGCAGTGTTGGCACTTTGTCATAAAGAGGTGGGTTTTGGGTTGCAGTTTGGGTACTCGGTCTCTGAAAAGTTTGCCATCACTAGCTTAGAACTATCTTTTTTTAACCAGTGTCTCATTTAGTGCAGGCTGGCCTTGAACTCACTGTGTAGCCCAGGCTGGCCTCAAACTCACAGTGATCCTCCTGCCTCAGCCTCTGCAATGCTAGGATTAAAAGATGTACCACTACATTCCCCTCTTTTTCAATGAAGCTTTTGTCCAGCTCCTACTGTTTGTTTACCAACATGGATCCGCAACACTCTCAATTCTGATACATTATTAAAATCCTTAGTTTTGTGAAATTCTGTACCACTTCTAGTTTTTTAAAATTATTTTTTATACTCTTTAAAATAAAATTTTTTAATTAAAAAATAAAAATCTTTAGTCTTTACTTTTATGTCAGTTAGCCTAGCAGTCTCATTCTCCTCACACTGAGAATTTTCACATTCACTTTTACTTTCTAGAATTACCATACTCATTTCCATCTGAGCTCCATTTGCCTTCTGCAAATAAGATGGTGCCTTGGAAAAAAGTCAAGAACTGTACTTCGCAGTAAATATTCGAGAAGTATGCACACCTGTACTCCCAACACTGGCAGGCTGAGGCAGGAGGATCCGAAGTTTGAGCCCAATCTGGAGAATTTAGCAAGATCTCATCTCAAAATTAAAAAGTAAAAAAGGGGCTGGGGATACAGTTCATTATTCCCTGGCATCATCCTCAATATTGCAAAAAAAAAAAATGTATTTCCCCCACCTGAGTCTTGGTTGGCCCCGTGACTGGGGAACAAATATGATGCGAACTGTGGCTTTCAGTGCATGTGGAGCCGCCAGGCCCCAGGGGTATGAACCTAGGCCAGACCAGGACACAGTGGAAACAGGGTGGGGCAGCTCATCTCCCCATGGAGCAAGGAAGGGCTTGCTGGATCCTCTAGCCCAGCACCAACCCCATGGGGCAGAGCTGCTCAGGCCACAACCATCTCAGAGGAGAGAGGATTGTTACTAGCAAAAACTAAGCGATTAAAATGGGCTGTCAGAATGCTATGTTGCTCAAAATGCCACATTGAAATTAATTCCTATCTGTGGACTTGTAAAGCACATCTTAGCAGAGTCAATCTGCTAAAGTCTTCTTTTTGCTTTGCCCTGACAGACAAGACAGTGACTAAAAGATGACTAAGTGGGCCAAGGCCACAAAGAGAGAAAGGCCAGCATGAATTCAACCTTTACTGAGCATGTGCTGCGTGCCCAGGGCTGTCTTCATCGGTGGGGTTACAGAGATGACTCGGGCTTGGCCTAAAATTTAAGTGAGGGAAATGGGAAAACATGAGAATAATCCGATGATTCAAATAAGATCTGATCATTTTTATGAAGGAGTGAGCCATGTTAATTAAAGGTGGTTGGGGGAGGAGAGGAAACAAAAGCACCCAGAGCCTCACACCTCACCCAGGTCTTGAAAGACAATAGGAGTTGGCTAGGAGAAGGGGCGGGGGGAGTGTACTGGGGCAAAACAGAAAGGCAAGACTTAGCCAGGATCCCATCCTGACTGCAGGTAGAGTGTGGACATGCAGAAGAGGCAGGGCTGGAAGGAGCTGGAGGGGTAGCTGGGAGGTGCTGGAAACCGCAGTGCCCTCTCCTTTAAAGGTAAAGGAGAACCAATGATAGTTTTTAAACTGAGAGACGGCATGAGGAGTTTTAGAGAGCTCAGTTTACTCAACTTGCAGTAGTGAGGAGGAGGATAAAAAGGAAATCAGCTGGAGGAGTCCAATGCATAAGTTGCAACTGCGCTAAGCACATCAATCAAACAAAAGATTTTTGTTTTTGTTTTGGTGCCGAGGATGGAACCCAGAACTTTGCACATAATTCAACCACTGAGCTACCCAACCCCTAGGTCTTGATGACTGATCTCCACGTAGCTGGGACAGTGCAGTGGCCAGCATCAACACCAGGCATGGAGCTGGGCTAGAGGGGTGGGAGGAGGTGAAAGAGAAGATGATGCTCAAAGGTGATACAAGGGAAAGCACTGAGAGCTGCCTTTTGACGTACTGAGCTTGGGGTGTCCACAGAAGTCCAGATGTACACTGGGGAACAGATGTGCTGCTCTGAAGGAGAGATGGAAGCTGGAGGTGCAGATTTGGGGCAATAAACGTAGAGACATTCCCCAAGGCCTCTGTGGCTACGCTGTTGGGAAGGTAAGGCGCCTCTTGAGTTTCCACACCTCTAAAATGAAGACCTTCATCATTATGTGACAGGCATGTGGTCAGATATAAAATTATATTTAACAATCTGAAGCACAGTGTTTGGCGTATGATAGGCACTGACCACATGCTAGCTAATTTTGAATGAGAACCTGTAGGACATTTACTCAAAGTGGGAAAAGGCTCAGAAGTGGGAAGTTTGGGGAGCTTCAGTAGGTAAAAAGAAGCTAAGAGGCTTGCAAAGAAGACTTCAAGGATATGATAGTGAGCATAAATAAAATAAAGAGAGCTGGCAAACAACCTTTCGGCAAGCTACTTATTAATATTTATTTACTCAGTTTTTTAGTTCATATACATCAACCCAATAATTCTTCCTCTACGTATCTGAGGGAAATAATGCACTTTTAAATTTTAAAGAAAAATGTTGAACAGAATGTTTAGAAGAGAGTTGTAGTATAAGTCGTAGTGTAGTTTATAACTGGGGTGGCGGTTTAGAGTTGGAACAGGGGTAAAAAGAAAATGTTCACAAGCTAGGAAAAATGTATCAATTATTAAAAGATCAGATTATATATAAAAAAAAAAGACTGTCCCTTAGGGTGAAAAAAGAAATCAGATCACATGAGAATGCTTTTATAACTTCCTTAATCCATTACAATAAACTTATATTACTCATACATACACACTGGAAAAATGCCCCAACTAAAAAGCAGCTAAGAAAAAGAAGTTGCAGGATATTTTCCTGGGGGAGGGGATGAAGAAGAGGCTGCTCACCTTATATCCAACACCACTGACAATATGACCCCTGCCCTCCATTCTCAGCTTGTTTGTGAAGATTCCTCTTCTCTTTATCTGTCCTGCGGCCAAACAGGACTGCTCAGATTGACGCATTCTCCTACAGCTCTCGTTCCCCGCCTTCCTCTGCCTTTCCCACTGCTAAACCCTGTCTTTCTAGAGATCAGCACTCTAGTCCTGACTCTAAGCCCGTCTGTCAGAACACTACCAGTGCCACCCACACTCCAGATCCTCTGGCCTATTTGGATATAACCGCTAATCTCTCTATTCAGTGACACAGCTTTGTGTTTCCTTCAAGCCATTATTATTTCATTTCATGCCAAAAATACTCAGCTGAGAGGACAGTCCCACAGACAAGCTTGGGATAGGGTATGAAGACCCTGAAATCATTGCAAAATTGTATGCCTGTGTGTATATGTGCACTTTCCCGGGAGAGAAGACAAATAAAGCCCACTTCTCAAATCTTCCATGACCCCCCCCCCACCTCAGTTAACTTAATTCTCCTTTGCGCCTTTTGTCCCTTACACTCTGCAGTAACCTCCGGGATTTAACCAACCCAGTGTCTCCTCAGTGCCCAGAACAGGCATTAGAGAGCTGGACTCAGCCGAAGGGTCAACACACATGACGGTGTTTACCAATGGAGGGGGGGGGGGAGTTTTAAAAGGAAAGAAGGAAAAGAAAACTCTTAACTCCTCCAAACTGAAGAATCTACCACAATCGAAATGAGAACAAAAGTGAAAGTGAAATTACTGCATTTTTCTCTCAAACCACAAGCCCTGCCTACTACCCGGGCTGGGATTGAGGTTCGGGGATCAGGGATCAAGGGCTTTTACCTCAGGCTGCTCCTGACAACACTGTGATCTTGGCTAATAATTCTCTGAAACTCCCTACACCTCATTTCCCATGTATGCAACATGGGAAATAGTTCTCGCCCCTTATCTACCAAGAGAGGAGGCTGCAGGGAAACAGACGACACGCAAAATGCTTTCTGAACACTTCATTAGGCAGCGCCTCCCAGGCCTTTCATCCGCGAGCCTGCGGTCGCGAACGCCGCTGAGCTGCAGTGGGGGTTTTGACGTCCTGCCTTCTTTCAGGTCCAAAATATTTCCAAATGTGCTCAAATTTAGCACTGACGGTAAGAACATCTTGGGCTGGAATGCACTCTGACCACACTCCAGAATAGCGTTTCTCAACAATTTTTAACCCCTATTCCCATTTGATAAGAATTGCAAATCCTACTCCTTTTTAAAGTTTTCTGTTATGAAGACAAGAGCTGGTTGTTTCCCTTTTCGAAGTGCACAGTGCTGTAATAAAGAATTCTCAGGAGACCAAAACAAAAAAACCAAAACAGAATGAACTGCCACTTCGCACCAAGGTGAATAAATCTCAAATGCATTCTACCCAGAGAAAGAAGCCAGTCAGATAGAGTACATGGCATATGCTTGCATTTGTACCCATTTCTGCGAAAGCAAACTAAGTCCTATGGAAGAAGAGGGGGAGCTGTTGCTGGGGACAGAGGGGCAGGAGCGGTTCTGAGGGGGACAGATGAGCCTGCTATCTGAATTGTCGTGTTGGCACCGTATGTACCTACATCAAACCTAAGCAGGGGCATGTAGCTTACTGTATGCTATTTATGTGGCAATAAAGTTATTTTTAAACATTCTATCATCTACTGAATTTTCTTCTTCAAACTATATCCTCCCCAGCTACCTTGTCCCCATAAACATACATGGTCTACACAGTGAGCACATGACCCACATTGCCCCTAGTACCCACAGGCCTCAGAATAGCAAGGCTCAGCAACCAAGGCTCCTCCCTCTGCCCAGGACTCCTCCACTCTTCCTCGTTCATGTCATCCTGCCTCTTCCTCCTCCTCTCACCCCAGCACAGCCGAAGGGTCCTTCCCACAAGCCAACCCTGAGCCTCATTCAAGCCCAGCCTGCGTGGCTCAGCTCCTGGCATTTCCAGGTCTGCACCAATGTGATTGCTGGGCCCCTGAGTTCCCACGTGAGGCTAGAAATCTAAAAGGGTTCCCAACCATTGTGTGTGCCTTGGACTCCTCTGGCAGCCTCTTAGAACAAGGCAAAATACACAGGCAGATATCAAAAACCACCACATACAGTTACCAAATTGTTAAAACATATATTTCATGGGGTAACACATGTGCCTTTTTATTGATGTATTAAATAGAAGATCTACGGGGTTGGGGATTTAGCTCAGCGGCAAAGCGCCTGCCTGGCAAGCGCAAGGTCGTGAGTTCGGTTCCTGGTACCAGAGAAAAAACCAAAAAAAAAAAAATAAATAAATAAAATAAATAAATAAATAGAAGATCTAGTGGTAGGTCAAAGTAGTCCCATTATTTCAAAGTGGTGATATGTATGAACACTATTTGAAGACAAGTGCAATAGCTGTCATATATGAAAATACCTGATTTCTCCTGGTGACAGCCGTAAGTGTAGCCAGTGCTACTGTGGCTTGTCATCACCATTCATAATTGAAGGAAATACTGCACTGCAGTGAGAAGTCAGTGAAAATGTAACCTTCTCCCCGCCAAGGTCACAGGGCCTCTGAGCATAGGCCAAGGACAAGGCTCCAGGGAAAGCTATTTAGAGGGGCTGTGTCCTATTTATCTTTGTGTTCCCACTGGTCTGAGTGCACAGGGAGAAACTTCAGACCCAGCTACAAAACAGTACAGTATAGTTGTCCCTTGGTACCTGCGGCGGGTGCAGCTGGGAGGGCGGGTTCTAGGGCCTTGAGGATAGCAAAATCTGCTGATGTTCAAGTCCCTTGCGCATGAGATATTATCGAAAAATAGGGTGAAGGTTTACATTTTAAAACTTTATTACAGTAAAAGACATTGTCATTAATCCCCTTTTGTGTCTTTAGTGGCACCGTGGTGACTGCCTCTATGTCCTGAATGGATTCAAAACATTTACCTTTCATGGTCATTTTGACTTTGGGAAAGAGCCAAAAGTTAGTTGCTCAGTAACAGATCTGGTGAGTAGGTGGGTGAAGACACATCATAATCTTTTTTTTTAACAGAAATTTCCATAAATGCTTTGAATTGATACTCTCAAAAGAGGACTTCCAGAACTGCTTCAGAAAGTGATAAGAACTATGGATAACTGTCAAAGAGAGGAGAAGTATTTCGTAGGGAGTTAATGACAATGTGTCTTTTCTGTAATAATTTTTGTTGTTAATTTAAACATTCAGGGGCTGGGGATTTAGCTCAGCGGCAAAAGTGCCTGCCTGGCAAGCACAAGGTCGGGAGTTCGGTCCCTGGTACTGGAGAAAAACCAAAAAAATAAATAAATAAATAAATAAACATTCACCATACTTTTTTTGTTCTCACAGTATT